AAGAGAGAGAGAGAGAGAGAGAGAGAGAGAGAGAGAGAGAGAGATTTCCTGTTTCTCTTCCTACTGTAGGACAATTTTTTAAATAATGAGATTTTTTAAAAAGTATTTTTTAATCCTCACCTGAGGATATTTTTCCATTGATTTTTAAAAAAAAACCTACTTTTATTGATCTCAGAGAGGAAGGGAGAGGGAGAGAGAAATAGAAACATCAATGATGAGAAAGAATCATTGATTGGCTGCCTCCTGCACGCCCCCCACCGGGGATGGAGCCTGCAACCCGGGCATGCGCCCCCAATGGGATTCGAACCTGGGAGCCTTCAGTCCACAGGCCGACGCTTCATCCACTCAGCCAAACCAGCCAGGGCTCCATTGATTTTTTAGAGTGGAAGAGAGAAGGAAAGACAGAAAGAAATATCGATGTGAGAAAAACGCATTGATTGGTTGCCTCCTGCATGAGCCGAGGAGCCTGCAACCGAGGTATGTGCCCTTGACCGGAATCAAATCTGGGATCCTTCGGTCCACTGAGCCAAACCAGCTAGGGCTAAATAATGAGATTCTTGATTAAAACATATTCCATGAACCCCAAACACCATGTAAGCTTATTGGTTTTGACTCCCAACACAAGGTGGCGAGTACAACATTCATTTGACAACCATTTCTGGGATGCCCACTCCTTGGGCATTGGGATATAGTGGTCCCTACCCTCCTGAGCCTTTAATCTAGGAGGAGAGACATACTAAACATACTCACAAATTAACTTATAAAGACAAAAAAGGGAATGGATATGACAGAACAATAGAAGGACCTGATTTGGACAGGGGGAATCCGAGAGGGCCTCTCTGAGGAAATGACAATGAAGCTGGGATCTAAGGCTGAGCAGGAGCCAGAGGAAGAGCTAAAGGGAGGGTGCAGCATGTGCCTGACCAGGAAAGAGACAGAGCTCAGAGAGCAAAGAGCAGGAGACTGGTAAGGTTACCAGGGGCCAGGCCAAGCAGGACCTTGGTGGTATGTTAGCACTTTTCATCCTGATCATGAGAATAAGCAAGTATTTAACCATCTGGGCCGACTATTTACCATCTATGCCCCCAGATCCAGTCCCTACAATTCTCTACCTTGGTCAGCGTCCCGGAAGGTGGGTTTCTACAAACTGTCACTTTCACCCGTGTTCCTGTGCCCTCTGTCTTCCAGGTGAATTCAGCCAACAGAAGCACAGGCAGGTGATGGGAAGGTGAGAGGAGAGAGAGGGTGGAGATTTTATTTCTTTTCACTGCCTCCCTGCAGGGCTCGGACAGTGGTGGTAGCTATAGTCCTTGGTCCTTTATTCACAGCCATAGCTTTTGTCAGGTAGCCCCCCTCCCAAAGCCATAGCTCTCCCTAGCTTCCAGAAACTTCCCCCTGCTGCTGCTGGTCCCTAGATGCCTCACTTTCCTGTACACGTTCCCTTAACCTAGCCACACTGTTAGTAGTCAGTTCATTAATCCCTTCAGTTAAAACCCTGAGGGGGACATTTGTGTCTTGCTAGGTCCCTGGCAGATGCAGGCACTAGCCAAGAGAGACAACCAGATTGACATCTGCAAGGATCACTGTGGCTTTCCCATGAAGCAAGGACTGCAAGGGACCAAAGCAAGTGCAGACAGCCGAGGGAGCTCCTGCATGATGCCTGCTATGAGGCCAGACCCCTTGCTCTCCACCTCCACTGTCCACTGCCCAGAGACCCTGATCCACATCCTGGGAGGGCCATGTGAGCAGGTGCCACCTTGGGCTTAGTTGGTTCCCCAGCATCATCACAGGCGTTCAATTCAATATTGATCAAAGTAATTTAAAGATTTAAAGTAAATTAAATATTTAATCTTGAACAGACAGACCAAGAAGAAACAGATTTCTACCAACATACAGTGTGTACAGGTTTGACAGAAAATGGCACTTTCCAGTGGAAAGGCTCTTCAAAGGCCACACAGATTTTCTTCTGTGAAAAACCTTGTGGGCATGGCCTTGTCCCCAGGCAGAGAGGGATGGATGAGATGACCTCACCGTCTCTCTAATTAAACAACAGTGCATTCAGACTGTGCTTTACAGATGTGAATAGCATTGCAACTTCTTTATTCAGCATGTGGCTGTTTATAGTGACAGATTTTGGCTTTTCCCACAGTCCTGATTTGTGATTTTAAAAATCATGAAACTGTAAGCTGCTGAAGATTTCTGGACAATCAGAACAGCTGGATTCTAACTTCTCTAACAGGAGGGGCTGGATTTTCACAGCTCCCAGGCTGCAGGGATGCTGGTATAATATTTGGAAACAGCACCCTTGAAATGGGAAAGGAGAACAACTTGTCCCACCACCAGGAGATGGTGTGACACCAGGTCATCTGCTCACTGTAGCTCATTAAGTATTTCTAGAGTATTCACAATTATTCAACAACTATTTTCTCAGTGTCCCCAGTGTTAGGGCCAGACATCTGTCTAGCCAGCAAAAATGTCTCGAGGGCCCACTTACGGCAAGCATTGTGCCGTGATAGACACATGAAGATGAACATGACACAAGGTTACCTTCAAGGGAGGCAAGGGCCATATCACTAAGTCATTTTGACAGTGTGATGAGTGCTGTGACAGAAACGTGTTTGGGAACACAGCGGGGACAGGGTAAGGTTTGTCTAGAGAGGAGCTGCCTGTGGGGAAAGAGGTAAGGAGAGTGAGGGTGCAGCTTTGATTGTATCTCTAACATTTTCTTTCTTAAAAATAAAGAGGAGAGAGCTGAAACAAATATGGCAGAATGTTAACATCTGTTAAATCTGGTTGTAGGCACACGGGCTTCTGTTGTATTATTTCCTGTACTTTTTAGGGTGGGGAGGAAGGGGAGAAGAACCACCCAACCTTGCTCAGCCTCTGCCTCTGATGTGTGATGAGAGGACAACTTCCTCCTCCAAGTGTGTGCATGTACTCATGCACAGCCAAGAACAACTCCATCTTCCCTCACCAGGGCTATCTTTCAACTGCCGAGGAACATGGGACATCATCTGACTGACCTCAAGCCACAAGGCATAGGCACTTGCAGCTGCTGCTGAAACAAATGGGTGAGGGGTGGCAGGGGTGGAGCGGGGGCTCAGGCCTGGGCCTGTGTTGCATGGAGGCCCTGCCACACATCCAGCACAATGGTCCTTAACAGCAAGTGCCACATACTGGGACCCCCCCCTCTTCTCTCAGACACTAGCTGAGAAGAAACTGGTAGATTCTGGCAATTCCACCAAGGCTACCAATGCACCCATGGACATATCCTTTGACTTCGTCTCTCCATTTTTAGGAATTTCTCCAGCTGTATACTTGGACATGTGTACAATAGGAGTACAAATAGTTATTCATCGCAGGATGAACTGTAATAGCAGGTGACAGGAAACAACCCAAATGACAGGGATGGAGGAAGATTCTCAGGCATCCCTATGATGGAATATTACACAGTCATAAGGAATGAAAAAGCACTTTGTGTTTTGGTTTGGAAAGATCTCAAGGACTATTGAGTGAAAAAAATATAAGGTGCAGGACAGTGTGTGTGATATGCTACCTTCTGTATTGAAAAGGTAGAAAAGAAAAACCCATAAGCATTTGCCTGTATGTGCACAAAATATCAGAATGTTACCAGGAGTTGCCTCTGTGAGGGCAACTGGGTTGATGTGGGGTCAAAGGTGGGAGACTTGGATCACTTTTTACTGTTTAATTTTACCTTTTCTATCTTTTGAATTTCAAATTGTTTTCAAAAGACGGGAAATATCACTTCCTAGCCCATTCCCCAGAGTTTGCAGCGCTGTTCCAGGGTAAACTGCTGATCCTGGGCCTGAACTATTGATTGGCTGGTTTTCCAAGGACCACAAATCTATCCTCACCCCACATCCAGAATGCTTTTTATTTGGGGACCGGGTGACAACTTGTGCTTGGAGAAGATACTGAATGGGTTTGAGGCCTGTGTTACTTGTTGATCAGTAAACCAAAAACCTCAGCAGTACCTCCCGAGGGGGTTCCTGCCTGCCCTGCCTCCATCCTTCCCTCTACCAACTTCCCCTTGGGACCTTACTCCTCACACACCTGATGCCTAGGTGCAGCTAGTGGTTTTGCTCTTGGATGGGCACCTGAGCCCCAGCCAGGTCAACAAGCCTCAATCCTGGAGCTTCTTTTCCTGGGAAAGGCAAATTCTCTTTTTGCTGGATTTGTAGCTGGAAGGATGTTGTGCTCAGAGCTGCCAGCAAATAAAGCAACGTACGGGACAATGGAACAGATCTAGTTAGGCCTGAACTTATTTGTGAGCCGGTATATACAACTGCCTTCTTGCCTTAAGTCAGATAGAGGTGAGTTTTCTCAAAATTCTTGGCAAATATAAAAATTGGGACACTATGCCCCTTTCTGGCTGAGAATCATTCTCTTACAAGGTGGGGGAGGGTGTGGAAAGAGCTCCCCTGCTGAAGCACAAACACGAAATACAGGAGGCACCCCACTTGAGCTATCTCACTGCTCACTATCTGTCTCTCTGCATGCTGGAAATAGCTTTTGGGATTTAAGAAAATAGGAGTGGGGTGGGGCAATCCCCTGGGTGGCTCCTTGGAGCCATGTGGGGAGGTGCATACCTGTAGCCAACATTGTCAGTGCAGGGGTTGTGGGCTCGGATAATGATAAAGACATGCTGAAAGTGTGAGCGGATGTTCTTGGGGGTGAAAGGCAGTGCCCCCGGCTCCTGGAAGATGATGGTCACAATGTCGTTTCCTATGTGCCTCTTCCGTAGAAGCTGGTAAATGGGAAACAGAGTGGGAGAGAAAAGCGTCAAAATTCGACTTGGCTCCAGGATCTTGTCTGGACCATCACAGCAGTCTCCTCACTGTCTCACTATTCCCACCCCATCCCATAGTCTGAGGGAACCGGGACACCTAGGTCAATCATGTCCCTCCTTGCTCAGAGACCTCCTGTGGCTCACTTAGGGCAAGGACCAAGTCCCCAAATGGCCCAGGGAGCTCCAGGCATGCTGTCCCCGTCACCTCTCTGACATCTCCGTTCATGCTCCCCCTTGCTCACTGCTCCAGCCACAATGGCTTCTTGCTGTTCCTCAAACATGCCAGAAACATTTCCTCCTCAAGGCCTCTGCATAAGGCCTCTTGCCTAGAACATTCTTCCTGCAGATCCCCACATGGCTCCCTCCTGGTCTTGGCTGAAATGTCACCCTCCCACAGAGGCCTTTGCTGAGTGTATTATCCAAGATCTCACCCCCTCAATACGCCCATCTCTGCTCTTCTGTCCCTGTTATTTAATATTTATTGACACTTAGCAAACAGTAGCTTTTCCCTCTTCCCTTTGTTTCTCATCTCTCATCTGCCTCTTCGCACTAATGTGCCAGCTTCATGAGAACAGGGATTTTGTCTGTTTTGTTTGCTGCCCACTGCTGTATCCTCAGTGCCGGGAGCAGTGCCTACCACACAGTAGGTACTCAAGAAACATCTCCTGGAGGGCAGCATGGGCTGGCAGCCTTCAATTTGCTCAAGGCCACACTCATGGATGATGGCAGAAGCAGACCAGAGGCAGTCCACAGGGTCGATCCCAAGCCAATGCCCCTTGCCTGGGACACCTGAGTTGAGAAGACTGGGGCAACTTCAGCTTCATATAGGCTTATGGGAGACCTGTACTCTCTCCCCTGCTTGTCAGTCCAAGGGAGACTCTGTAACCTTCACAGGGGATGATGTATTCATGGTATATTACTTATCTGCTGAAATTACACTGTTCTTATTTACCTAAGTTTAACCTTCGTGTAACTGTTAGGAATCCATAGATAAGAGCTGTGTGTAGTTCTATGTGAGGTAGCCACAGTATGAAATGCAGACACTCCTAGAAGCATGACTCACATCATTTTGTTATATTGTTAGTTCTTTATGTGTGTTTTAAACTAGATAAAATAAAATAAAATTTCTAGATAAAAGTACCCATTTACTATGGCTGGCATTTTATACCCTATCTTTTTTTTTTTTTTTTAAATCCTCATCTGAGGATATGGTTTTCATTAACTCGAGAGAGAGAGAGAGAAAGTGGGACAGAAAGAGAGAGAGAGAGGGAGAGAGAGAGAGAGAGAGAGAGAGAGAGAGAATGGTTACCTCATGCATGTACCCTGACTGGAGATTGAACCACCCGCAATCTGAGCATGTTCCCTGACTGGGAATTGAACCCACAACTTTTCAGTGCAGGGGACCACGCTCTAATCACTGAGGAACACCGGCCAGGGCTTATACCCATATCTTAAAGTTGCAATCTCATTTAATCTTCACATCAATCCTTTGAGGCATTAACTCATCCTATCCCCTTTTACTGATGAAAAGACTTAGGCTCACCATTGTTACACGACTTGTTCTGGGTCACACAGACATGGAGGGAAAGACCCAGAATTTGAGTCTAGTTCTGCCTAATTCTAAAAACCAATCTAAAAACAAACAAACAAACAAACAAATAAAACCCAAGCTTCCACCCCTCCCCCATGCTTCCCAAATACCCAGGAATAGGTACCGCTTCCTCTGCCCCTCTGGTCAGGCTCTGCCTTGTACTCTGGTTTCATGCAAGAGTTGCAGAGACCTTTCCCAATGAAACCGAGACATGGGTACTATCATTCCACCCATTTTACAGAGGAGGAACCTGAGGCTCAGAGAGGTCAGATCATGATGCTAGGAAGTGGTGCAGAAAGACCTCACACTCAGGTCTAACTCTAAGGCCAATCGTCTTATAGCATGCCATTAACTTTATGAAATAACTCAGAGTTGACCATTTCTGGCCTGTAATATCTACAATGTCACTTGTACCAATGGAAAAAATATGCATTTCCCAAATCATCGAAAGTCTGTGGGATTTCTGTTCATTAGAAACTAGGAAGAGTTGCTCCTGGACTGAGTCTGTATGGTGTGTCTAGGAGAGGAGCCTCCCGGCAGTGGGCATTAGCTGTTGTTGCCCAGCCAGTACCTCACCTCTTCCTCCTTCTGGCAGCCACAGCAATCCCCTTTTGGAGAGCACCTTTCTGACCCCAATCACTCTCTCTAGGGGTGGGCATGTGCTTCAGGCTGGGCCACTCAGCTCAGTCCATCCCTATCCCAAGCCTAGGGACTGGCAAGTGAATCATCTAATGAGATTTAGTGCTGAAATGTCTCTGGGACACCTGGAAGGCACCACTTTCCCCTGTGGTGGCTATGCTACGAGGATATGATACAAGTGCTGCTAGTGGGCATCTCTGATACTTGGGAAGACCTATAAATAAGAACACTATGAAGAAAAGCAAAGGTCAAGAATGGAAGGATTCCTAACATTGTTTAAGCCCTGGATCTAGCCATACATAAAGCTAGTTCTCTCTCAACACTTGAGAGTTACATAGTGTAGCTCAGCCCACTTTTTGCTTATGCCAGTTTGGTTTGCATTTCTTTCTTTTTAAAATTTTTTTATATATATATTTTTATTGATTAAGATATTACATATGTGTCCTTATCCCCATGTTACCCCCTATCCCCCCGCTCATGCCCTCACCCCCCTGTTGTCCGTGTCCATTGGTTAGGCCTATATGCTTGCATATAAGTCCTTTGGTTGATCTCTCCCCCTTACCTCCAACCTCCCCTACCTTCCCTGTCGGGCCTTAGTTTGCATTTCATTCAGTTGGTGAGAATGTGGAGTAACTAAAATCCTTTATGTGGCTGGATAGATATGTAAGTTGGTACAACCACCTGGGAAAATGTTGACCTATTCACTTTTTTTTCTTTTCTTCATAGGATCCCTAAGGACCAAAGAGGCCCTTGAGGAGAGCTGGGGCAGAGGCAAACAGGGAGGCCAAGGAACAGCTAAGAAAAAACTGCCGTTAAATGACAACTGACCCAGGTGATGGGACTGTGGTGCAGAGAGTCCAAGGCCAAAGGCCTCCAACTGCTGCACAGGACAACACCAGAGCCGCCAGTGCCAGGCTGGCAGCCAGCTAGCAGCCGTGAGGAAAGAGTACCTTGGGGTTCAGCCATGTATCAGCTGGAAATTATGTGGGACCCCACTGACCTGCTGCCTGTTGTTGGGGGTATAAGGGAGCAGAGTGGAGACATGGAACATGATCTCATAGTCCTGGTACGTTGTGTAGAGGGAGTGGGTTCCCGTGGAGTCAGCTGAAACAGAAACACAAGTTAGTACCATGTTTCCAAAACCTCTGGGTTTTTGCCATCTCCCACATACCATCTGTGTCAGTTTTTAATTTGACTCCGTTCTTTAAAACTAAATACATTTAGATAAAAAGCAAAGCTTACATTATACCCCCACCAGATTGGTAACAATGTAAAAGTCTGACAGTACCCAGGGTTGGTGAGAATGTGGAGTAACTAAAATCCTTTATGTGACTGGATAGATGAAATATATGTAAGTTGGTATAACGACCTGGGAAAATTTTTTTAGCAATATCTATTGAATGTGAAGGTAGGTATAATGGATGACCCAGTACTTCCTCTCTTAGGATCATAGTGTAGATGACTCCACACCTGTGCCCTGGGAGATGGGTACAAGTATCTTCAAATGTCAGTCAAAAGAATGGATAAATGGAATAAAAAATGGTGGCAGAGTAAGTGGACGCTGCTTGGACATGCTCCCAGGAGCAAACTGGAATTACAACGAAAATATAGAAAAACTTCCTGAATAATCAACTGAAGACTAGCTGGAGAGAACCCTGATAACCAAGGACGGAAAGTGGAGACCGCATAGAGACTGGTAGAAGTGCAAAGTCATGAAAGGGCTGGCTGGGCTCCCACAGACAGCAGCTGAAGTTCTGGAGAGATATTTCAGCTGTGAGGGTTGCCACTGAGAACGCTGGGCTCTAATCCCCAAGCTAGGCTCCCCAGCTCAGGGTTGCCACTGAGAACGCTGGGTTCTAATCCCCAAGCTAGGCTCCCCAGCTCAGAGCACCAGAAGTGGGAAAGGTGCCCACATAATATCGGGCTGTGAAAAGCACTGGGCTTGCTAACTGCCAGGGAAAGATGGCTGGAAATGCAGGCACCCTTTTAAAGGGCCAACACACAAAATTCCCTGTGCAGCCACTCACCTTGTGCTCCAGCAGAGGGAGGGGAGAGTGGACTGGAGCTGTGTGAGCAGAAACCAGGGTTGGGGACTCTGGGCTTAGAGCTCAGGAGGCAAACACTCCAGTTTCCTGTGCTGAGTCATTCCCTCATGCTGTGAAGGTCATCTTTCTCACCCAGACATTTGCTATGCAAGTAGTTTTGTGTGTGTGGGAAGACAGTTGACCCACCCTATTGGAAACCACCTGGCCCCACAGTGTGGAGTTGATGAGGCCCATTAAGAGACTGAGAATAACAATTAGCCTCTAGGCCAGTGGTTCTCAACCTTGGCTGCACATTAGAATCACCTGGGAATCTTTAAATCCTGATGATTTCTGGGCCTCATCCTCTGGAAATTCTGTTTCTTTGTTACTAATGTTGTGGCCCCACCCCATAACAAAGAAACAGAATTTCTGGAGGATGAGGCCCAGAAATCAGGATTTTAGAAAGATTCCCAGGTGATGATTCTAATGTGCAGCCAAGGTTGAGAACCACTGCTCTAGGCAGAAGCAATTGCCCCACATTATTGGAAAAACTCTCACCACACCTGGGCACCATTACCCGAGGGCTATTCAAGACTGAATTCAATCAGTCTGCAGGCAGAGGCTGTCTCTGAAAGCTTTGAGTCTTTACCTGATCTAATTAGTCAGAAACAGGGATTGACACTGTCCTGCACTAGAGATGGAGAGCTGTACAAGATCTACCTAATATACAGTCAGAAACCCAAACGGGCAGCCAAAATGAGGAGACAAAGAAACAACCCCCAAAGAAAGAATGAGAGAATTCTCCAGAAGAATAGATAAATGAAATGGAGATAAAAAATTTATGTGATATAGAGTTCAGAATAATGATGGTAAAGATGCTCAACAGCATGACAAAAGATATAGTAACTATGAAAACAGAAATAAAGAATGACATAGCACAAATAAAGAACACACTGGAAGGAATACACAGCAGATTAGGGGAAGCTGAGGATCAGATCAGTGAAATAGAAGACAGGATAGAAAAAAATCACTCAATCAGAGAACCAAAATGAAAAAGCAATTATAAAACAGGACAGCCCTAGCTAGTCTTGCTCAGTGGATAGAGCTAGCAGACTGAAGGATCTCAGGTTCAATTCCAGTCAAGCTCACGCACTTTAGTTGCAGGCTCCTCCCTGGCCGAGGCCTTGGCTGGGGCTCAGGCAGGAGGCAACCAATCAATGTGTTTCTCTCACATTGATATTTCTCTCTGTCTTTCCCTCTCTCTTCCACTCTCTCTAAAAATCAATGGAAAAATATCCTATGGTGAGGATTAAAACAAACAACACCCCCCCCCCAAATAACCCCAAAATAAACAAAACAAAAAACAGGAGGACAGCTTAAGGGAGCTGTGGGACAACATGAAACATTACAATATTCAAATAGTAGGTGTGCAAGAAGAGGCAGAAAGCCATAGAGAACATGTTTAAAGAAATAATAGCAGAAAACTTCCCTAACCTGGTGAAGGAAAAAGTTACACAAGTCCAGCCCTGACCGGTTTGGCTCAGTGGATAGAGTGTCAGCCTGCGGACTGAAAGGTCCCAGGTTCAATTCTGGTCAAGGGCATGTACCTTGGTTGCAGGCACATCCCCAGGGGGTGTGCAGGAGGCAGCTGATCGATGTTTCTCTCTCATCGATGTTTCTAACTCTCTATCCCTCTCCCTTCCTCTCTGTAAAAAAAATCAATAACAATATATTTAAAAAAAAAAAGTTACCCAAGTTCAGGAGGCACAGAGAGTCCCAAGCAAGAAGAACCCAAACAGGCTCATGCTCAAACACATTATAATTAAAATGCCAAAAATTAGAGACAAAGAGGGAATCTTAAAGGCAGTAAGAGAAAAGCAAACTGTTACCTACAAAGGAGTTCCCATAAGGCTATCATCTGATTCCTCATCAGAAACTGTATAAGGGAATGGTATGAAATACTCAAGGTAATAGAAAACAAGGGTCTTGAAACCAAGATTACTATATCCAGCAAGGCTATTATTAAAAACTAGAGGCTCAGTGCACAATCAGGGCTGGGGAGGGACATGAGAAGCTGGCCAGCCAGGGAGAGACAGTGGGAGGGCTCCAGGGCGTGTCTGCCTGTTTCGCTCAGTTGCGATCGGCTGGAACCCAGCAGCAAGCTAACCTACTTGTCAGAGTGTCTGCCCCCCGGTGGTCAGTGCACATCATAGCGACTGGTTGATCGGTCAGCTGTCTGCCCCCTGGTGGCCAGTGTACGTCATAGCGAGCAGTTGAGGGGCCTTAGATATCATTAGCATATTATGCTTTGATTGAACGGACGACCGGACACTTAGCATATTAGGCTTTTATTATATAGGATAGATGGTCAAATAAAGAGCTTCCCAGATAAAAAAATGCCAAAGGAGTTCATCACCACCAAGCCAGCATTACAAGAAATGCTAAAGGAACTGCTGTAATGAAAAGAAGAAACAGAAAGAGAAAACTAGGCATACAGAATTAAAATGGGAATATTTAAGTTCCTATCAATAATAACATTAAATCTAGTGGATTAAATGCTCTAATCAAAAAACATAGGATAGCTGGATACAAAAACATGACCAAACTATATAGGCTGTCTACAAGAGACCCACTTCAGAACAAAAGATTCACATAGGATGCGACTGAATGGATGGGAAAATATTTTTCATGCAAATGAAAAAGAAAAAAAAGCAGGAGTAGCAATACTCATATCTGACAAAATACACTTCAAAATGGAGGCATCACAAGAGACAACAGAGGTCACTACCTAATACTACAGAGATTGATCCAACAAGAGGATATAACCCTGGTAAACATATATATGCACCCTATTTAGGAGCACCTAAATACATAAAAAAACTTCTAGAGAACTTTAAGGGAGAGATCGACAATACAGTCATAGTAAGGGACTTATACCCTGACTTCACTGGATAGGTCCCTCCAGACAAAAAATTAACAAGGAAACAGTGACTTTAGAGGACACACTGGTTCAGATAAATTTAATTGACATTTAGAGAACATTTCACCTCAGAGCTGCAGAATACACATTCTTCTCAAGTGCACATGAGTCACTCACAAAGATAGACCACATGTTAGGACACAAAACAAGTCTCTACAAGTTCAAGAAGACTGAAATCATATCAAGCATCTTCTCAGATCACAGTGGAATGAAATTAGAAAT